ATATACGAGTGCCCATTGTTTTCGGGAGCAGGCAACTCGGCACAGCGAAGATACTCACCAAAAATGGCCAAGGCAAAACCAGGGAGCTGTGTGTAAAATTTAAATGAGCAGCCAGCCAGCTATCCATGGCTTTTGGTAGTTGTTTAGAAGGTACGGGGCTTAGCAATGAGTTTCAACAACTGTTGGCAGGCAGCAATTTGTTGCTTTCTTTCGGGGTTTTCTATAACATTCCAGTACGCTTATCAGAGCACATTAGGTGAGAATTGTGTCACCTAATTAGCGTAAATGAATCAAGGAGTCAAACGAAGGCAGTTAGCCAGCTCTAAAGAGAACTCGAATGTCTCCGGCCTAATCCGTACCAATCTCGTTTTCGAAACGTGACAACACAGAGCCACAAAATGAGGCATTTGAAGCCTTTTGGGCTAATTTCGAGCGTCACTAAAAGGCAGTCGGAGGCCCCAAGAAAAGTAACGAAATTGTAAAAGACTTTACAGTGGCCAAAATGTTGAATAAACGTGACAAATGCCACAAGCCAAAATTGAAAGTAAAAAAGCCTTTGGTGCGGCATTTACAAAGAAAGGAATAATGCCAGAAGTATTACGGTTTTATAAGAATAATTCCAAGGCAAGCTAAGCACACAAGCAAATAGAATACTTTAATAGATAAATTTACTGCAAATTAAACATGGTAAAGTAGATGTCAAATTTCAGATGAAGAAGGTTAATTAAGAAAGTATGTTTAATATGCTGAGGACAGAAATACCATTCTTCAGCTATTTATGTAATTAAATTATTTTTAAGCCCAGAAAGGAAAAAACAAAATAACTTAACGCGGACGGATATACTTCTTTCTCGGGAATTATAAAGATATCTAGACCGAAATGGAAACAGCCAAACCAGATTAAGAGCTAAACAAGTGCAAGTCTGTCTGTCAATGTCATTACAAGCAAATCCAAGCGGTGGCATTTAAAGTCTTTTACTTTCTGATGACCATTCTTGGATTTTCTTTTTATTGTTCCTATTATGATTGCCATTACCATTATGATTTCTGTGCTAAGCCGGGAAACGCCACATGCCAATCTGTACTTAGAACGTGAGCTGATGACGATGCGATGATTGTAATAATGAAGATGGTCCAACTGGAAGATGGAGATGACAGTTGACCATTTGTCGCACTATTGAGCACACAACACAGCGAAGAAAGAGTTCTTGGCCATTGACAAAAACAACTTTCACCAAGCTTAGAATACTGACATCTTTCAGTTCTCGCGGTTGTCGCAAAAATTGCTTTCTTTCGAAAGAAAGCCTACCCGATGTAATTCAGATAAAACGAACACCGAAACTAAGAAACTCCCCGACATAAATCATTCACTTCCTTAGGCCCAAATAATTTATAAAACCTCAGGTTAATTAGTCAATTAGGAAGGGGCTCAACCCAACCCAATCCGAAACCCAAAGCCCGGAATTACATCGTTTATCTGGATAAAATTTCTCTTTTTGGGTCACACGCGCTTTTGGCCAGGAAACCCAAGGGCAACAGCACCAACAGCATTCCTCGAATACAGATGTTCAGGGTAGATAATTCAATTTCTGTCTTGACATTCGGCAAATTTCGCAGCTTCGAAGTGCAGGGCAGGTATTCCACAAACGGCCCGCTTTTTTTAAGTCCCGGCGGACACAAACAAATTACGGTAATCGGCTTTAATTAACGCTGCGTTTTATCTGGCCAAAAAGGTTTTCGGTTCGGGGTTTTCAGAACCGAATTCGTTTAGCTTTTCATTTAAGCCCTCCGAAGGGGCGTTGAACTTGTATCAAACAAATTAATAAATAAATTCTCACACTGTAACCAATTTATGTGGCTAGCAGATCTCGATCTCGATCTACAATCGAAGACCTTTTGTACGAACTAAAATTTCTCATTGTGCCCAGTTCAGGTTTGTTTCCAATCGGAGTAAAGAATATAGTACGTATGGCAAAACGATTTCATGCTTTAAATATTTGGCCCGCCAGACAATTGTTAATCAAGACAAAATGGTAACAGTCCACATGATGTTTGCTTAACTTAACACAAAGCATCTTTGAACCAAGCCGCCAAAAAAGAATTCTGGCGTTTATTGTTTTCTTAGAGGGGCCAGAAGAAACAGCGAAGAATAAGAAACGTGTCACAGAAAAAACCAAGAAAATATTTTCGAAAATTGCAGGAAATAAACACTTTGGATAGATCTCTTGGCTTTTTGCTGAGCTGTGCCAAAAAAAATTTGGTCAAATGCCGCGGGAAACCCATTTTAAGTGAGCAGCAAATGTTTACGACCTGTGTGTTTTGGACAGGTAGCTTAATGTCTGTGGAAATGGGAGCTGAAATCTCGGCAAACCCCACCCACCAGGCTTGGTAAGTAACTAACCCCGGGCAGCAGCAAATTGATTTACTTTACTTTTACTTGTTTAAGATCACTCCACGCCCCGAAATATATAAACATTATATGTTGACTTGATTAGCAGCCGAATGAAAAAAATATTGGGCCTATTTGTTACATATTTTACGAGCATATCTCTCTCTTTTTTTGATGAACTAAACCTGAGGCTGTGTTTTAACTTTACGATGTCGGCAAACATGATCGCATTAAATATACCAATAAATGCTTTAATACGATCGCTAACAAATCGCAGGCCCAAAGCGAAGGAGCAGGCCCACATTACGGTTAAGATTCGAACTTCGGACACACTCAATGTTCGAACCCGGGGACAAACAAAGCTGAAATAAAATTTTCTCAGCTAATATTTCACCCAGCCTGGCCATAATATTACGCCCAATTTGGCTCTCTACTTGTACTTGGATCTTTTCGTTTGGTTTTCGTTGCCTTTCCGATTCTGCTGCCCCTTGTTAACAACCGTTCAGGTACAATGGGATCAGCTCTTGCTGTTTTGGGCCTCAAATTTGCCTGTGGGGTATACTAAGCTAATAAGGAACTAAAAAAGTTACTAAAAACCAATAACCGAAGGATAGGTTGTGTTGCATTTATTACTCTTTTGGTAAGAATTTAAAAAAAGTTATGAGGTGTTAGTTAAAATCAATAACACGAAATATAACATCAAAAACTGATTTATTTAATATTTATTTATAACTCAAGCTAACACAGAAAGGAAATTACTAATCAATAGTCGATAACTTGAGATCAACAATCGTTCATCGCAATTTTCTTCTTAATTATAAAGCCTTAAATTCGTTGCTGTCGTTGCTGTTTTCAACCGCGAATATTAGAGTGCATTTGAGTTTCGGCTTTTTATTTTGAACGAATTTGTAGCCAGGCTTTGTTTGTTTTTGGCACATTTCTTGGCTCTGATGCAGCAGCAACTTAATCAGCAGGCAGCGCTACGAAAACGTTAACGGACGCTGTAAGAATCTGCACAGTCTTCCACTGGAAGAAAGGCAGAGAGGACGGGCAGGCCAATAAGCATAAAAATCCCATGGCTGCGGGCAGTGAGAGAAAGATTTTGCAAGCGCATAAACCCAAAATGAGCGAGAAGACTTTGAAAATGAGCTGTAATTAAAATCCAGCGTCTGTGGTATAAATAATAACGAAAGACTTAAGCAACGAACTCGATGGGGTAGATGAAGCATCTGCAGCTGCTTTCTGTGTTATTTTCGGAAATTGCAGTTTTCATTTTCGCCCGAAAAACGAAAGCGGCTAAGATGAAGCTTTGATTCTCGCCAGACGCAAATAAATGCACCTGTTAGCAGTCGTATCAAAAAACCAAAAATCAGCAAGAGCGGCAGATACAGATCACCAAATCTAGGCAAATCAACGTGAATCATCATTAAGCAGCTGTCATTGTCACACGGTGAAATGCAAATTGCCTTTCTAACCCCTTAAAGCCCCTCTTTCTGAACACTTTCGGGTACATTCGAGCGCTTTGTGTAAACATTTCCGGCGACATTTGATTGCCGCTTTGCATGAGTTACAATTTGCGCTTCCTTGCGCGACATTTCATTTAGCAATTGTCGCTTTGTGGATTGGGATTTCTTTGATTTGGCTTTCTCCAGATCGTGATGATCGTCTCTGGTCTCATCAGTATGCAGAAGATCGTGCCGGGCTTTTGGCTTCAGTTACAGCTTCGTTGAAAGCGAAAGGTCTGCCGTCATTCAATACAATCCAAAATCTGATCCCAAATTGATTCATTTTTCGGTGGCTTTTGTGTCGATTGTTCTGTGATCGCTTATGTTTACATTGGATGAGCGACGAATCGTTCGATTTATGAGCTTAACATGTTAATGACTCAATAGAAATGTTATCAAACTATTTGTTTATTTACGCCGTCCCTACAAATGTGTAACTTTCTTTGGCAGCTCAAGAAGCTGTGTGATCAATTGATGGCTGCTTTGGTTTCTTTTTCTGTTCTGCGGCACCTTTCTAATCAAGTTGACTTCGTTTTGGACTCCTAATTCGTTTAAACTGCAGTGCTGGACAGCTTTTATGGAGCATAAAACGCACGACAGTGCCTGGCTGACCACAAGATTGAGAACCCGAGGCAGCCAAGAAGTAATATCATAATTTTCATGTACCAATAACTCGTCTAAGTGCGATCTCATGGGCAAAATTGATTTTCCCCCTGATTCTAGTTCTCCATCTCCTCCGCTCGTGAACTGATTTCAATTTAATTAATGATATTGAACGTCGTGTGTGCCCGTTTTGAACCCTCTCGGTTCTGCCGAGGGATTTGGTAATCGAAATTATGAATGGAACATGCCACATGTGCCCCAGAAGAGAGCAGCAGAAGCGAAGAGAGCCCGACAAGAGCGTCTTCCCGAGCGAAATGCAAACAAAAGCCAGCACATTCACTCGCTTTTCCCCCGGAGAAACTCACTCAAACTCAAAACGAGAGTTTGGCTTTGAGTCTTTTGTGTTTGCGACTCATTTCTTTGGCTTTCTTTGCGTGGCCGCTTTGTGAGTTGGCTTTCTTTTGAGCTCCATGCTCGACAGCGGTTTATAACGTTGGCCATTGTCAAGGCGAACGCACGCGAGCAGCGCAGCAAAGGCAAAATAAATAGCAGCAACAACCAGCCCAGAAGAACTCAAAACTCCTCCGTGAGCAACTTATATAACGACTGATTAGCCCGTCGTTTACTTTAGTTATTCGGTCAACTCCCGACGGTCAAGTTCGCAGCGATCGCGGCTTGCCAAATAAAAATAATTTACCAAATAAAATAAATCGCGTTGCCAGGAACTTATATCCGTGGCTTTGACAAGGAACAACCAAAGTCAAGTGCAACATTCAATCCCCACTAAATGTGCAATGTGTGTAATCAGCAAACAGTGATTATTTACATACATGAATAAAACTCATCTCGAAAGTGAAGCGTGACTCAGCATCGATAGCCGAAAATCTTAGAGGAACAAGACAATCCGAAAGGAAAGGATACTTTTCGGTCACTTCTCCAACTCACGAAGTCACAGTTGCAGTTGCACGTTATTCTTGCCAAGTGAGTGTTTATTAACTTTTACCACACACGTATAATATGCAATGACAAGTCAGAAACCCAGAAACAATGATCGGCAAGAATTTACCTTCTTGTTTGAACAATCTGCTCTGGGAACAACCTTGAGTCGATTGATTACAGAATTTCCTGACCCGCATAGAGCTCAAAATAAATAAGTCAAATATTGCCAAAGAAATGTCTGAATGATTTAGCTGCAGTAGTTTATTATTTAATTCTTTATTTAAAAATGTATGGAATTGAAAAGGTATAATATTTTTATGAGTTATCAACAATTTTTGAAACTGAAAAACATTTATGATCAATTTATTACAAATTATAACTTACAAATGAAGTTCGAATTAAATAAAAATTAGATCCTTCAAGATCCTTTCTTTGCGATTATTGATTAATATAAATATAGTTGTTTTGCACGAGTATATCTGCCATAAAATCATAGATGTATTTCAGAAAGGATAAAAAAATGTTGTATTAAATTTCGTTTTATACAATAAAATAACTTACGAAATGCTTCAAATTATATTATTTGCTTAGCAAAATATTATACCTAAAGGACTGGAATGCAACATCTTTTCTTGGTTTAGCAGTCCAACTAAAACCAAGAATAATTTATACAGATTGTAATTGGCATTCATGGCATTTGCATTAATTGGCAACAGATTCATTAAGTTTTGTTGTCTTGTGCTGTCTTTTATAGATCATCTAGAGTCCCATAATTAAAACCAAACACAAGTCGGGCAATTAAAATAATTAGGCTCCAGTTGTGGTGTGAAATCCACAATGTAACGTGTCAGAACAGAACCCGCATCCAAAGAGTGGAGTATAAAAGATAATAGAACAGGACTGAGACTCTGATAAAAAGCGATTACGATCTGGAGAGCAGCGAACAAAGCCGAGGTTAAAGCCACAGAACGCAGAGACCACCGGTTGAAATGATCCATTGAATGTCAGCTACCGTGTTGGCTGGCGGACTTCGGGGAGTAGGTATTTAAATTTGCCCGCAATAATTGCCCTGGCCATGACTGGGCTTCGAAGTTATCCAGCCTAGGAAGATAGGGAGTTGGCATCATCACGATGACATGACAGTTACAACACAGCCTTCTCTCTCCTGGCAGCTATTCATTTACTCAACCTGCCAGTCGCCGTTGATTAGACGAAGCGTGCGCTTTAATTGCCGCCAAATGGGCAAAAAAAAAACCAGGGAAAAAAGAGAATCTCCAAGAGCCTTCGCCTTCGGCTTGGCAATTTGTCATGTGCATTTAATATTCGCCTGGACCTGGGCTTCCGTGCCTTGGAAAACAATTTGCGTTTGTTTGTCCAGCTTGTTTGTTGCAGTTAGCGTTGATTAGCCTGCTGCAAAAAGTTCTCCCATTGCAATTACGGGCAAACAACATCAAATGCCACAACACCAGGTAGCCAGAGCAGCTGTGCCTTGGAGCCATCTAGCTGCTAAGATGGTAGATGGCCATCTAGCCACTCCCCACACACTTCGGTGTCAGCAAAGCAATTTCAAATGTCTACCCATGCGGATTTTCTATGGGGACCCAGACCCACCGCATTTGGGCGTTCATTCTGCTGTGAAATTGATAGATTTAATTTGACATTTGGCGCAAGTCCGCGCTTTTGCTTTTGCTTTTACATTTGATTTCTACCTTCCAGGCAGGGTATAAGTTTTTTCTATTCCCTCCAGTTTATAATTTACTTTTGCGGCTTGACAGTGGTCATCAATGACTAATCAAGTTGTCGACGAGAAGAAATCGCAAAATGGATTCTAAGTAGCGAGATTGCGATTGTGCGGACTGTCAGGCAGAAAAACCGCTTCCGTTTCAGTTTATCCAAGAAAACTGATTGATAGACCGCCGCTAGAATTGTCAATTGCCAAGAAATCTCCCCATCGCGTCTTAAGTTTGCCGTCTGAAAACCTCATTTGGGTTAACAGTTTTACTGTTTGGTTTTCGGCGTGCCAAATTTCCATTTTGGTTTATTTGCGATTGTCAACTTTTGGGTCAGTTGGCTGTTTGGCCAGCAATTAGCAAAGATTTATCCAACAATGGTGGACGGATGGGAAGTAACATAACCGTTGGGATTGCTTTGCATTTGGCTTTGGCCTGTGTTTAAGTTCTCTGGGGTTTTTACACCTTTTGGGGCTAATGTCGCTTTATAATTTATGCTGAAGATGCAAAGAAATTGGGTTGAGAAATTATCGGAGGAAATTGGCTGATGATATCATCTAATGAGAGCAGCTTTCTAGACATCGGATTTCTCTTAGAAGAAGATTACCTAGCTGGCATAGTTTAGCACAGTTTATCCCACGATTTTCTGTAGCATAATCAGCATGTGAATTACATTTATAGGGTATACGCCCTGTTCGATCGCCTGAAGATCGTAGCCATATCTCTAGAGGCTAATAACATGCAACATCACAACCTGTCCATCAAATTCCTAGCTTGTTTCGCACTTGATTAGCTTGCATTGAAAAATGTCCGATTTGAAGACATGCAGCTTGGCTAATTTATTCAGAAACGCTGCTCGAAATAATTTGCGATTGTGTGAAAGTATTTTGCTGCGGTAATATTTTAATTGAAATTTAATTGAAAAGTAAAAAGCTTTCGCATGCAGCATGGCAGTTGCCAGAGGCTAAAATATCTGAGCCAAGTTCAGAGGCAGAAACATCGGACATTGACAATTGAGTTTCACTTTTCGCACACTCGAAATATCAATGAACCCGAAGTCAAATCGCAGACAATGGCAGGAGTCGCCATCGCCTCCTGCCGCCTGAAGGCAATCCAAAATCCAAAAATACAATAATTCGAAAAAAAGAAAAATGAACTCGAGGTGGGGATAAATGACACCAAAGTTTGGGCAAACGATTCCAGACAGAAGAAGCGGCCGCCGAAAATCAGCAAGAAATAATCGTTGAAGAATTTGACTTTCGCTTGTTTGGCTTCTTTGGCCATAAATAAAAACGTTCAAGCCCCCCGAAAAAGCCTTGTGATTGTCGCCGATTAAATGCGCGAAAACGAAGCAGAGGAGTCTGAAAACGCTTTGGGTGCAACTCAAACCCATCTGGCACGACCAAATGGCAATCGCTATCGCAATGCCAATGCCAAGGCGTTTGTATTTGCTTAAACTTTGACATTTGCCAGCTGGCTGTGGTGGATGGATATGTGGATGCAGTGCCTCATACATATTTGTCTGTCTACCGCTAATGCCAAAAGAAAAAGCGCCAATTGGCTGAGAGGAAAAGTAAAAGCAAGCTGAAGGATTCATCGATGAAAATGGGACATCTGTTTGGCAGAAATAAACTTGAATTACCACGAAATAGTCAACATTGATTGACTAAATGAGTAGAATAAATAAATAAATCATTAAAATGATTTATTTTTCGATTAACTAATGATTTATTTAAAGACATCGAGAAAGATGGGTGATAGTCAACCAGGTTACCAACTAGAGCCTTATCTCTAATCATTATAAAATAAAATAAGGAGATCAATATTTTTTTGGATCTAAAGTAAGTTAACTGGCAGCTAAATGTTAACTCTAATAAGACACGTAATACGGCGACAATGGGCTTAATAATATCCTTTGGATAATCCGTTACCATAAATCTAAAAGTATCATACCATTTCGATCCTTTTCTAAATATCCAATAAGTGACCTTTACCCAAGACGAGTAGCGCCTCTTAAGAGATAACCCCTGACTCATAGCGAGGACTTCCCTCCCTTAACCCTCTAAAGAGTTTCTCCCAGTCTGGGTTTTCGCTTTCAAGACTTTCCGCGAAGCCAAACAAATTTAATGACAATAATCCAATAAACGTTAAAGCCTGGGGATCGTGACAAAAATCTTGGCTAGGTGCACAAAAGAAAGCGCCGCAGACCGACCTCCAGACCCCCCAGACCTATAGACCCCTTTTCCTGGGAGTCGAAAAAAAGCCGGTGCCATTGAGTGCTGTTAACATTTTGACATTGCCTGCGTTTCAGTTCGGGAGTGTATATATATAAAGAAGAGTCAAAAGATTGAGAGAAAAATTACATTAATAGGTTGGATTTTCAGAGCGGGAACGTGCCTAGCATTTTGGGCATTTCCATTGTGCTGGCCATGCATGTCCGTCCGCCTTTATGAGCCAGCCATCCACGAGCTTTCCTAGCCGATACTACACCCATTCAATGGCATTTTATTACTATTTCGTTGGCTGTTTTTCGGCTGACCTCAATAGAAAGTGTTACAGTTCACTGTCTGAGAGGCTGAAGCTTCCGCCTGCCGTACTTCTTTTCTTTCATCGCCGCCAGCGGAAACCTCTTGTTAAACTTAAACTGCTGACGTCAGCGGAGAAGACGGGGCAGCTTGATACAGATCGAAAGTAAGAGTTGAAGATCTTGCAGAAATCTCCAGTTGATTAGAATGCCCGGCACTCCATCATCAAGACAATTTGCATTTTTAAACTGCCAAAAGAAAGTGCCCAAAAAGAAACGAGCATCGGGAGCATCGAAGTCGGGCGCGTGCATTGCATAGTTAATTGTGCAAATGTTTTCAGTTGCTAGTTGATAGTCGGTAGAATACAGTGGAGACCGACCGAGAGAAACTCTGGCGAATTTCCATGTTAAATGGCTCCACGGAAAAAAAACAGATTGGAATATGCAAGTCAAATAGGTAGATAGATAACGAACTATCGCATCAGCACTTTTATATAAGATAGTAAAAGCAAAAAAGGACGAGCTAGAAACCGAGGAGTGACAAATAAATTTGTAAGACTATTTAATTTGATTTGACAATTAAATAGAATAAATTAAATTAAATTATAATTATTAAATTAGCAATTTATGTTTTTTTCTGTGCTCTGTTGATGCGTTTGGGTTTCAGTTGCTAGTTAAGTTATTTGGCTTTTGGCCATATTTAATTTCGTTATTTATAAGCAAATTTGCACTCCCCCGGCTTGCAGCCCCGGCCGCCTCCAACGACAGAAAACAAAAACCGCGATCGTCGACTAGGTCAACTTTCGCTAGCATGGAATGCGAAATGCAACAGCAGCAGCAGCAACTGCAACAGCCACTGCAGCAACGACAGCCACTGCCACAACAACGACACCACTGTCAGCCAATAATAAAGTAAGAAGCTGAAGAAGAAGCTTTGGCTTCTTCAGGGGGGAGAAACGAAGTTCTCTGAGTGACTTGACTGAGACTCTGGCTAATAATACTTACCAAGAGCTCTGCTGCTGCCTTGGTTTAACTGGCCTGGCTTTTTAACTTATTTTTTCTGGTCGGGCCACGACGGCTTGGCTTTCTTGGCTTCCTTCTTCTCTTCGCTTAAATAGTTGCAAATAAATTGTGTGGGTAGCAGTGGAAACTGGCAACAGCAAGTAAATTACTTCAATGTCACCTGCTGACGATTCAAACTCCAGATAAGCGCTCGACGTAAAGACGGATACACCATCCATTCCATCCGCTGCCGCAGTGATCTCCCTAAGTTTTCTCCTCTCTTATAATGAAATTATCGCTGCATCTCATTGTTTGTTTGCCTTGTCTCGCACTGGTAAAAATTATTTATTTAGTTCTCGTTTTCACATTAAACGTTGTCACACTAAACTCAATTGCCGCAGATGCAGATGCAGATGCCCAGATCTGTATCGCCTGTACTTTAAGTGGGTTTGTGGCTCAAAACCGGGCCCATTGTTGTAGGAAAATATTTAACTAATTTGCATTTGTTTGCCTTACAGATACAACGACGAAAAGGCCCGATTCAAGAGGATTGAAGACACGAGAGCAAACAGTTAAGGTATGTGCTAAATCAAACATGGCTAGGGGTTATGTCAAGTTCAGAGTGTCATCCCCAGAATCGGCAACAGAATGAGAATTCCATTTAAGAGCCACCAGGATTCTTGTGCATTTTTAGGTCATTAAGTTGACACAATACTCTAAATTATTCATAGGGACAATTTCCAGGAAATTTCATAGTTCTAGAAATAAAAACCATTTTAAGCGGGGAACGGAAGTGGGGTGTTAATTTTACAACAGGAAATTTTTAAATATTCATTAAAATGAAGTGAGAACGATGAAACAGAACCATAAAACTCGAACCAGTGAGTTTAACGGAGGCTCTAGGTGGAAAATGCAGTCAGTAAAACTGCAACCACTTTTTCGGTCGTAAAGTTTAATACGAACGTCATTCACTGTGAGATTTCCTATCCTATCTTCAAATGAAAGCCGGTAATGGGTTTTAAATAAATAAAATACACTCGGGGTTTTGGAAAGGAAGTAGGATTTAATGCGTATATAAAGTATATAAAGTACCCCGTAGTTGATATAATAAAGATTCAGGTGCGAATAGTGGGTATAAAAAGAATTGTTTGCCCTGGATGATGTTTTAAACACAAGGCCAACAAAGCGAAATTCGTTTAAGCCAAATTCAGCTGCTGCATTCCAGTGCATATCATCGCCCCAGTTTCGGGTTCTCCGACTAAATAGCAAATAATCTGGCGTGGGCTGGGACCCCTCCACACTCATGGATATACATGTAGCTCGCACCTGACTGACGTGCAGACACAGCATAAATTAGCTGTCTATATAAAGCATTAAGATCTGGTATAAGAATCTGCCAAGGCATAATTGTGCAATGAATATTGTTAGCCAAGAACAGAGAGCGAGCCGAGTTGTCGTGGCTTCTTGCCGTTCAGTTGCATGCCGTTGGCCTGTTCCACTTTTTAGATGCAACATTTTCGCGTTGCTGCCTATCGGCAGATACAATTCCACGGCGGCGCGAATAAGCTGAATAAATTGCACGCATAGGACCAGCGGCTTTAATATTTATTGCGTTTTAAAGACGCATTCGAAATGGAAGCGGCCACAATCGCATCGCCACAAATGGCAACTGTGCCCGGGCCATAAATCTTGGCCAGTGCAAATTATATAATGTGAGTCGTTCTATATATAAACTTGGCCAATTGGGCTACTGACTCTCTTTTTGGTGGTTATTTATGGGTTCATAGTCTCAGCTTCCTTTCCAAAAGGATTCGGTTTCTCTTCCTCTGGCAAATGGATGTGAGCAGCAACAGAAACACCTGAACCGGAAGTCGAGCTGAGATGCTGAGATATTGATTCTGATTGCCCGGCAGCAGCGAAAGATCAGCGGCCATCGAATGTGTGTAATGATGGTTAATAAATCAAACGGAGAATTACCTGGAATCCAGCAGACAGTCTGTGGCGGCAGCGTTTGTCTGCCAGATTCTTCTCTCAGCTTTTTCTGCCTTCCTGTCTTGGCCAATTCCACTCGATGGATGCCAACAAATTAGCGCAGCGTCGGCAAGGCGAAATCATAAGGCTGCAAAAGCCAGTGGCCAGTCATTCGGTCCGTCAGTCTATCAATCAGTCAATCCATTTGGCAAACAAACAAATCGCATTCCCATTCCAGCGCCAAACTAAAATTGTCTTGGTTCTGTTTGCTTAGGCCAGTGTGTTTGAGCAACACAAAACTTGTTTGTTTCCCGCGATGTTTGTTTGTTTGTTTGTTGTCTTAGCTGCCGTAAGCCGCTTTTAACCCCTTGAGTACCACATATTTAAGTGCCTGCCATTCATCCTTTGGTCCACCTGTACCTGTTGTGCATACAGAACATGTTGACAAATGATTGGATGGAAAGGTATTTCAATCGCGACAAAAGAAATGGAAAATATCTGTGAGTAAATATGATTTCTGAAAGAATGAAAGAATGGGAAGACTTTATAAAATGAAGTATATATAGCCCATTAAAGCCAAACTCCTAGATTTTACTAATTCTCAAGAATTGGTATAAAAAACAATCAAAGATTTAATGTTAATTATTTTTTCACATTTTCTCTACATAGTTGATTAAGTTGTCGCACCTCTACAAATGTATAATTAGAGCCCCATTTTATAAAAATCTATCATAAAAACGGAAAACAAATTTAATTGATATCCAAATATTTAGTAACTCATCAATTGTGTTATAGTTAATGGGTTAATTGAATCTGTCGCCAGTTTCGGTGTGCATTTAAATTGCACATTTTGTAAGCATCTTTCGCGCCGAAAGGCCAGTTCGCCAAATAGGTTAATGGCACATTCTAATCGGCCCAAACACACAGAGATGTGGCTGAAAGTCGAGATCTTGGCCAGAATTCTAACTTCGAGTTTAGATATTTAGATGGCAGCCGTTTTCCAGCAGCCAGACGGGCAACAATGTGAACGCAAATTGGCTTAAATGCAAAAAGCGTCGACAATTAGCTGCGCGGTCGGTGGCTCAGTGGCAATAGTGGCAATAGTGGCAAGGTGGGCCTGTGGGTTTGGTGTTGCGGTGGCTCAGTGGTTCAGTGGCTGCATTCTCTGCAGTGGGTGGTTGTTGGCATATGCAGTTTACAGTTAGTTTGCGCCATGTTGACAGTTACGTGCGCCGACAGCTTCCACCTGCCACAGCGTACAAATGTTGCATAAATTAGCCAGCAAAACTGGAGCGGCCAATTCACATTGTTGGTTGTCTGTTGGCAGCGGATGATGATGTTGATGCCACCATTCACAGCCTTTTGTACTTGCGTAATGCATTTTCACGCAATTTATAACCGTTTTTCGAACGAATCTGGGTCACCAGGGGAAGCCGGAAAAGACCCCCAGCAGGTGCAGCTTAAAAATTCTTGCAATTTGCATTTGATTGAGTCGTAAATTTGCAACGCACACACGGGTTGCTTGGTCGGTGGGTGAACAGTTAACTGAGCATAAATCATATGACTGTGGGAGGCCCGACCGCCAAGCGACCTGATTTCCAGGTCCAGTTTTCTAGCTCTCGATAATGATGATGTGACTTTGGCGTGCGCTTTTCAATTTGTTTAGATCTTTTACGGCTTGTTTTTCCTCTTGTCTCCCAACCGTTTCCTTTTTCGGGCTTTGTCGGGATTTATGTTTCAGCTGTCAGCGGTTTTCGGCTATGAGTCTCTGTCCCAAGAATTTCTCCAAAGAGAAAAGCCTGCGAGACGACACGTGCCGCCTGACCATTCGATTTCGAAAAACCACGCTTTTTCTGTTGTTTTTCGCCTGGCAGTTTCCATTTAATTTACGTCTGGCCGGCTTTCTTTCACTTCTATGTGCCTCTTTGAGCCAGTTTGCTAGAATTTCTAATAGCCGGCCGCTCAGAGCAACTAGCATTCATTATTGTTCGCTTTTAAACGCTTTTTTATTGACTCGAATTAGCGCTCAAGTAGAATTTGATGCCATCGGACAATGGAGCCGAAGAATGGCCAGGTGAAGCCCAGAATACCAGAGTACTAGAATGTGGGCTGCTAGAAAGCGAAACGCACTTGGCCACACGTCCCAAAGAACTCTCTATTTGCTGGTCCCTTCTTGGATTCTTCGCTTGCACTGGCCATAACGTTCTGTTTGTCACGTAGTTCAAATAAAATGTGTTTTTATGATGCGATTAGTGCCCGCTGTTATATGGGGCCCAAAGCATATCAACGACCAACAAAAAGTGAAAAGAATGTCAAGTGTTAATTGCCTGGCTTATGACCATAAAGTGTTCGCCAGTGTTGCCTGCTCTGATGATGATTAAGTTGTAGTTGTGATGTGTGACTTTTCTTTATGGTTTTCCAAGTGACATGTATGTGGTACTCCTTGAGTTTATAGTATCTAGTTAGATGAACTTCCATTGGTTTAATCGTAAAGGGTTAGAAAATTGTATTGATACAACTTAGGTAATACAAATTTGTGTTTTAAAAAATAAAACCATTTTAATTCTTGTACCCAACAAAAGGAGAGAGGTACTTTGAGCCGGATAAAGAAGGTGAGGATTTGTGCTTTCCTTTATGGTTCGCTTAGTGCCTTTTTTATGGTACTACTTGGGCAGCGAGTTTCTAAGAGATTCTGTGTTTTATTGACCATTAATGAATCAAGATTGTCGGACTGAATGGGGTGAAGGGTCTGGAAAGTGTCAATCTATTTGATCTACGAAACATTCTACTGATCATAGCTCAAACTTAGCGCATTTCACTAATACAAGTCTGCAGTCTTGAGAATGCTACCCGTACGTTGGAGACTGCTTTCCATGCCAACTGTCGTTCTTCAACCTTATCACGGGCATTTATCGAGTGGCCTTTGGCACCGAACTTGTTCTGTATCACGCCGAGTTCCTTAAGCATTTTTGTGATACTTTTGCGAGAGCATTCTGAATGACATTATCTATAAACTAAACAACGCAATTTGCATTGCTAAATGGCTGGGGATATATCCCGGGATTCTGGGGGAAACACGCCCCGCATGGGGCGGCCTCAACATAACTGAAATTCCTTTGCATGTCATGAGCATTTGTGCGGGACTCCGTTACTCTGAATGTTAGATGTTAGATGGAGTTCGCTTCGCTGCGGTGCGGTGTTCTTGCGGCCGCGGCCATGTATTTATGCGCTCTAAACATTGTTAGTTATGCAACAGGCAGCAACCAGTCCTCTCCACTTATGCAGCATGACAACAGAAGAGAACACAAAGAAGACAACCCAACAGCATCAGCAACAATCATTGGCGGGCATCGATGATGGCAAGGCCTACATTTCAATGTCAGCTTGCCCAGTGCTACCAATCAAGTTGTTAACTATGCAAAAGTAGTAAATTGCGAAGCGGACAAAGCATCAGCACCACTTCGCCACTGCACCACTGCAGCACTCTTCACCACAATTGTTATGAACTGAACTTTAAATAACAATCAGCCAAGTACCGTTAAATGAATGCGACATTGTTCTGCAGTTGCAGCTCCGAGCTGAGCAATATTAATTTGCGGCCTTAAGTTAAGGCTAAAATATTTGCATAATAAACGCCAACGCCTTGGCGAAAAGCCGGCTGTTTATCTCCGATTACCGCTTGCCCACCGGCCCAAAGCGCATTCTCATCGTCAAAGCATTCTGATTCCCATTTTTATTAAAGGTGGTTTCGGTGGTGGTGCTGAGCCACTGCAGTCGCTCACCTCGTACATTTCCGAAAAGTAATGGCCCGGCCAACAGTGATAATTTATCACTGGCCAGCAGCCGGACATGCGGCAAAGCCGAACGGTACTTGCTAGGCCAACACAATGCCTGTTTTAGCCCGGTCTTTGGTCTCCAGTCTCTGGAGTGCAAGTCTTTGAACTGAATCGCCATTGTGCACCGGTCTCAATTTGTGCGCTCTCGGCCAGCACAATCAAATTGATATTTGCTGCTATATTTAGTTTATGATAATGCCGCCTAGTCGACTTCAGTGCTAATATGCAGCTTCCTTCTAGTCAAGCGCACCTCCTTTCTCGGCAGGCCACATTTATTATGCATGTTCGGGCTGGAATTGTAAGCCTGCAGTCTGGTTTTTTCCTCTTTTTTCACTGAGAAAGTGTTTTTTTTATGTCTGCCAAGTCAATTAGCATTTGCCATTTAGTTGGCATAAATTCAAATCGAACGATCGAAAATATTATGCCTTCTGTGGGAACCTGCATACGAAACTAGAGAAATTTTTATTGAATATGTTTAGAGAGGGGAGCGTCTGACCTTTCGGTCGGGAAGTAAAGTAAATCGAATTCAATTTAAACGTTTTCAATTAGATTTTCATCAGCCAATGAGTTCTTCTTTTGTTTTCTTTTGCTGGAAATCAGACTGAACAAAAAGCCATTAGCAAATTGTAATGGAAACTCTGCAGGCCGCAATCAAAGCCTCGTACATATACGGTTAGTTTGTTGCTTAAGTCTTTTGTTTATGGGCCAACATTAAGTAGGAAGAACTTCACTAGGAAGCAGCTGCGAATGGCCGGGTCTCACCTAATAACTAACCAAATTGTATCTTGTTTTCGATTGGAATCGCTGAGTAGTTTACATGATTGATAGATGGAAAAACCGCTTCCAGCTACGATGCGGCAGCTTGTTAACGTTCAATTAGTGAAATTGATAGACATATCTTACCTCGGCCAGGGAAAATCATCAGTCGTTGAATCAAAATTCAGAAAACTGGTAATAGGGAACGAAAAACAAAAGAACTTTCGGCTGGCCACAAATTACAGCAGCGGGTTAATTAAAATGTAGCTGCGTTTTTTTCGGAGGCTCTCGGTTACGCTCACATGGAAATTCTAAGTGCTGTTCTGGAACCACAGAACGTTTTTCTTTTTTCCGACTCCCAAATTTCAAACTAACCGCATGCCACACACACGCACATTTACCGTTTTTCTGGTTCGGGCCATTCTTCTCCTGGCTTTTCTGTCCACTTTGGTCAATGGCTCATTACATTTGTGGGTTAGCAGGTGAAACTGAACCGAATCGAAAGAAAAACTCAGAGGAAGGGCCAGAGAAAAACCAAAGGGACAGACAGCAGATAAGAATGGGTCTGAAACCAAAGTCAATGTTTCGGCCCGCGGTGGCTTATTAAAAGCGCGTTGCGTTGCCTGTCGAGGCCTATAATTAGCATAAATTCATTCTTACAACTAATTGCAAGTGGAAGTGAGCGTTCCGTAATGAGTTCGCCGCTGGTTCCTCATCTTGTGTTCTCTCTTCTCCATATTTTTTCCCCGTTCAATCGAGCAGAGGAATGGTGCGCACTGCGCACCACCGAGATGATCAAGGGGTTCCAGCCACATATTGTTTTTAGTGCAGTATCTTAAAGCATGTTATTAACATTAACGGTTCTTTCTCTCCACTCTTGTTTAGCTTTCATAATTTATGTGTGAGCCGTTGTTGCAGCCGAAGGAGGCTTGATCCCAGGCGTGGGCGTAGCCCCGGTTTTGCATGCATCCCACCTGCCGGCTAACCCCTGCCCATAATTAATTATGTAACTAACGAAACATTAAGCAGTGCCCAGCGAAAGAGCTGAAAAAAAAGTTTGAAAAGCCAGAAAATCCGAACGCAAATCTTTTCTCACGCAGCCGCTTATTAACCGCTAAATCTTCTTCGTTGTCTCTCGCAAAATAATGAGCTACACTTTAGATTATCTCACAGGTGCTTTTGGCAGTCCGAACGAATCTCTTTTTTCAAGCAGCTCTATCTTTTTTATTGCCTGCCAGTGAAACTTACTTTTTACGCTCTTGTCGGCGATCGACAGCCGAAACGCATAAAAATATTTAACAACATGAAAATGTCTTTGTTTGCCTCTTCTCGAATGGGGTATAAAGCTTAAATTCACTTTCACGCCGAAATGCGGAAAACAGTCAGTTATTCGCCAAAAAAAAGAAGAAAATACTGCTGTAGATCTAAGATTCGCCAGCTGTAAAGTGTTAATTGCTTAGCGCGTTTTAAGTGAGATTGCATAATTGAATTAGCAAATTGTTATGACAGAGGCAAGGAACTATGACGACAATATGATAGTTTAAGTAAGACATGTCAACGACATATTAAGCTGATACTTGGAAACTCTTAAGTGTAACCTGAGATTCACAAAAAAGCAAGCAAGTAAAATAATACGAACCACTTCAAATGTAGGTGTCCTTGCTAAAAGCACATTCATATATAGTGTGCGCTCTATTTATCTAGAACATTTTACACATCAATGAAATGTTTCGCAGTAAACTTTCCAGACCCTAAGGAATACAATTTGCCCTAATAGTTTTTAAAAACCCAGACTTAAAACGTTCTTTGTATAATGTTTATTTTAACACCTGACTGATAGCTCTTCGTAATATGGGTATCTGGAACACGGCACACCTATACTTACTAGGTGAAATCAAGGCCCATAAGGTCTGGGGTCTCCAAGGTTTCTTTTCCCCAGCATGTTGCGACCTACGCCCGTTCGCATCCAGACTCTCTCTCTAGCCGAACTCCCCCCAAAATAGTTCCCAGGCGGCGGTGTTTTTCACACATAAAACTTCGCCCCACTGAGGGCCAGAGCAATGTTTTTGTTCTGATTGTCGGTGGTGCAACTGTTGTGTATGCACAATGGATAGAGCCAAGATTGCTGTAAGCACAGCTGTAGCTTTAATTAAACGCTGCGAACACACAGCGAACAAGTCAGGCAATTAAAGCTCGAACATAAGAAGACCAGGGGAATACCATGAAATACCATCGAAGACACAGAGTTCCGTTCCGTCTTCATTCCTGGGCGAGCAAAGCCCCCGTGGAGGAAGAACCCTAGTATTCTCAGACTAACGCCAAACTAATAAAGTGCACACCAGGAATTACATAAATTGCGCGTAATGTGAAATTAGTTACCTAATTAACATTTAGCCATCTTCCTGGGGGAATAACTCCGAAGCCCCCAGATTAGCAGGTGCCCATGTACTCACACCGTATACCCATTTCAATTGCAGACAAAATGTTTCTACGCCGCTGCACCTTTCTGCTGCTGATCTGCCTAATTGCGAGTGACGCCGCCAGCGCCGCACGCAAAACAAAACGTCCTGTCAAGCCGGTCAAGCAGACCAATCCGCGCACCAATGTGACGCCTTCGCCGCCGGCATCCTCAGCAGTCGCCTCATCTGGCAGCTCCACGCCTGCCAGCACCACCAGCACCACCACCACGGAAGGCAACGGCGACCAGGAGGCAGCCACAGTGGGATCTGGAACTCCAGCTGGCAGCGGAGAACTCCCCAAGCCCCTGGCCACGCCCATTGAGGCTCAGCCGGAGGCCAAGACGGACAAGGCACCAGCCGGAATTCAGGAGGAAGAGTGCGATCCAGATATGATTGGCTTCGAGATTATTACCGGGTGAGTTGAACAAAAGTCTTATTGTGTTGAGGCTGAAATGGGGCACTTGTGTGGGATGGCCACAAAGATGAATGGAAACATCCGATTCCTTAATTTTATTAATATTTTAGCTAGTTTTCAAAGGAACAGAATGTCTAGTAGTTTTTAATCAATTAAATAATGTTGTCAAGATTAAAAGAGATTAAATAGGCACCCCTTCTACAATATATATATATATATATATATATATATATATACTTTGTATTTTAAATGAACTGAACAGTTGATAGGCCAGAGGAGCCAGATAGCCAGAGGAGCTTATTAAAAAGACATTTTCCAAAAAGAAACCGAGTTTTCTTACCAAATATTGCATAACCAGCAAAATAAGTTCCCTGACACCGTCACCTTTTCAAAACTGTCACAAAACAATGAAGAGTTTCACTCAAACAAAACTTATGCAATGCCGGCATTATAGAAACTTGATTACATTTTATGGCCACTTGTTAATTTCACTTTTGCTTTTCTTCTTAAATTTGAATTTTTGAGCGACAACACAATAGACCGGCCGCAAGTTCATACATTTTTAATGAAATGCAACTCGACATCTGGGCCAATTAACATTTCCATAAGAAGAGAAGACGAGATAACGGTGAACCCAGAAAGGGAACCACCAATAGCACCACCACAGTGGAACATTGCTAACTGGCATATGCAAATTTGTGGTTTCCGTAGGAGTGACACTGCTTGGTTAAAACGTGACTAATCCCATGGCTTTTTTCGATGTCATCGCCCGCCGCAAGTTCGTTGCCTGAGTCTTTTGTTTGTCGTGAACGACAAGAAAGACCCAAGACCGTAGAATGTCCGATCACTTTCGTTTTCATTTGCTGTGGAAATCTATTAGCCGGTTCGGGGATCATAAATCATCGGGGTATCTCGGTATCGATCTCATTTATAAATCATCTTTCCTCACTTTTCAGCTACGTGCTTTCGGCTCCCTCAAAAATGCTGGACACTTTGCCCGGGACTCTGATGCTCACCGACTGTTTGGAGGCCTGCCAAAATAACGAGTCCTGCAGCGCTGTCAACTACGAAACCGGATTGTGTGTGCTGTTTAAGACGACCGCCGATAAATTGCCAGGTGAGTTAGAAAGTGTGAGAATTCCGAACGGCTGCGCTGTTTTATATTTCTTCTTTTTTTGTGCCAAAGAAAGCTCAATAATTCAGGCGACTCCGTCGTTCATTCATTCATTTACTCAATTACTGAGTTCTAGTTCATGCAGGTTGTAGCATTGGTTGTCGTGGCCCGGGGGCCATAAATCACCCGCGTGTCCGAGAAAAAACAGAAATAAATAAACGAACCTGCACACACCTTTTGCCTTACGCACGACGCGGTTTTTGGCCCGGCCTGCAAACTAGATTTTTGCCCATTCTGCAGTCAAACTGGCTTTTGGCATAGTAACGCATAATTTCTGCAGCCTTCCCCAGTCGAATCTCAAATGTCGATGCAGTTGTCGTGGCTCAGCTCCAAAAGGCTGGTGCTTTTGCCCGTTTCTCAACGCCTGTTACTTTGCAGTGAAGGGGCGTGTGCGTAAAACGCATAAAATACGCACACCACCGTTGCCTTTCCCGTTTCCCGCTTTTTCACCACTTTTCATTTCACATTTTCTGCATTTTCAGGTTCACTATCGCGCTCGCAGTTTCCGGTTTTCACCATCTACGCACAGAAATCGTGTTTGGGCGTGCGTCCTTGCTCGAAGGCCTGGTGCATCGATCGCGTTCAAGGTTACCGCCTCCCAGAGCACGTCAAATCTAGTCAGACGGTTCTGTCGCGAAGAGACTGTTTGGAACTCTGCTTGGGAGAGACCGAATTCACATGCCGGTGAGTGTTAAGTAATGCGAATGGATTCTAAACGGGGAATGCTAGTTTTTTGGTATTAGTGAGAATAGTTAATAGACCTACATTAAATGTATGGTTTTCCAGAAAGTTTTGGAAAAACGTATATTATTTTTGGTTAGAAACAAGATATTCGGATAAGTGAAGTGTTTTTTGCCTGTCATTAAGAATATTAAAATCGTGATGTATTTTTGCAAACAATTGAATTTCGTATAACAGTGGGAGTCATTTATAATCTATGGACTAGGAAATTCATTGCATTAATAAAGATTTTAAATAACCATTTATTAACCAATAATACCAAATTATTTTACAATTTCGAGCGGTTTATCTTGCTCTCGTTTGAACTTGCGACTCTCTCCTAACATCTCTCCGTACCGCTTGCTTTCTTCCACTGCCTTCGCCTCTCGTTTTCTGCCCTTCACTCTTCCGTCCTATACCGCTCAATCCTGTCAGATCGGCCAACTACTACCGCCACTCGGGTCTCTGTGAGTTGTCCGACATGGACCGCATTACCCTTTCCGCTGGAGGAAGCGTGGAACCCTACGATGGAGCCGACTATCTGGAGAACAACTGCGCCGAGGAGCCCAGCAAATTGTGCGAATTCAAGCGGATTTCGGGAAAGATCCTGAAGACAGTAGATTCGGTTTACCAGGACATCAACACCATTGACGAGTGCCGCGATCTCTGCCTGAACTCCCCTTATAGGTAAGATATTTTCAGGCTCTATAATTGTATTGCTTTCTGACAGACACCTCAATGTAATCCCGTATAGATGTCATTCCTATGATTATAATGATACCGGGGACATGGTCTGCCGCCTGTCGCATCATAGTAGAGCTACCCTCACCGATGTGATGGATCCCTACTTGGATGTTCCCGAGGCAGCCACCTATGAACTCTCCGCCTGCTACAATGTGTCCATTGAGTGCCGTTCTGGGGAGATGATAACCAAGATTAGGACCTCCAAACTCTTCGATGGCAAGGTTTATGCCAAGGGAGCTCCCAAATCCTGCGCTGTGAATGTGAATAACTCCCTGGAGTTTGATTTCCGCATGGGCTACAATGATCTGGAATGCAATGTGCGACAGAGTGCCTACGGCAGATATATGAACGATATTGTGATCCAGCACCACGACATGATTGTTACCTCTTCCGATCTTGGCCTGGCTGTTTCCTGCCAATATGATTTAACGAACAAAACAGTGCTGAATGATGTTGACCTGGGAGTAACTGGCGAGATTGAGTCTTCTCTGAGTGAAGAGATAACCATTGATTCGCCCAATGTCATTATGAAGATCACCTCGCGGGATGGCAGCGACATGAAGAGGATAGCCGAGGTTGGCGATCCGCTGGCCCTGCGTTTCGAGATCGTGGAGCCCAACAGCCCGTACGAGATCTTCGTGAGGGAACTGGTGGCAATGGATGGTTCCGACAGCGCCGAGATAACCCTGATCGATGCTAATGGCTGCCCCACCGATCAATACATCATGGGCACCATCCAGAAGCTGGCTCACAATCGGAAGGTGCTGCTCTCGCAGTTCGACGCCTTCAAGTTTCCTTCGAGCGAAGTGGTTCAGTTCCGCGCCTTGGTAACGCCCTGCATTCCGCGCTGTGAACCCGTGATTTGCGACAGCGAAGATGGCGCTAGTGGAGAGCTGAAGTCTCTGGTTTCCTATGGTCGCAAAAAGCGATCGGTGCTTAATGGAACTGATGGTGGTAAGTAGTTGTACCGCTTTGCGGATCCTTTAAGGGACACTATCAATATTTGACTTTTTCTAAACACAATTTTAAAACACATGCTTTTTCTTGTCAATACAATATTTTCAAATTTGCCCGATATTAAATCAATTATATTGATATTTTATCGTTCACAACTTCACTTAATAATATACAACATTTCGATACGAGGTTTAGATATTTTTATCTATATATCATCAAAGCATGCTTACTAAGAAGTCTCTTCCACTTTCTTTCCAGCCGAGTTCTTGCTCAGCACACGCCATCGACGCGATGTGGGCCCCGTAGATGATAACATACTGCTCATGCAGTCCATACAAATCACAGACAAGTTCGGCTTCCAGCCAGAGGATGGCACCACTACCCATGGAAATGCCAGCGGTGCTGGTCCCCACGAGAAGGCCTATGCGGGCGTGGCCCAGGACAAGCTCACTTGCCTTAATGGCTATGGTAAGTTTGATTCTCCATTCCGGGGGCTCTGTGAAAAAGACCAATCAAGCACAAATCAAAGTTAGCATGATTTGCATAGACAAGCAGGAGCTCGCCTGCTCCTTCCTGGACGACATCGTGTCCTCCTCGCATCGTGAGGCGCTCAGCTTGTTCTTGGCTCGCTAATTTTGATAATGAATCAATTTTTCATCATTGCCGACTTGAGCAAGGGGCCTTAAATTAGGTTCTTCGTTGTCCAGAACGTGTTCTGTGTTATGATGTTGGACTGGCTTTTCCTTGGTGTCTCTGCTGGCTCACGACCAGGTCAGTAGTTCATTCGAAACTGTGCAGCAGTATTCTGCACGCCTCGTTTTCGTGCGGCGCGAAAATCTTTCTGCATAGTTGGTTGTCCATCGGTTAGATGCTGGGCTTTCCAGCTCCCGAGTTTCTACATCTCCCATGTGTCACTGGTTTTGTGGAGCAATTTCCAAGCCGCGTTGAAGCGTTAAATTGACAGCTCGTTAGACAGATGGAACTCCACTGGACCACCGAACATCAGGCGTACATTTCAGTGGTAATTACGCGCTGCATTTTATGGCAGATCAGAGGCGAGCAAACCGAAGCAATTAGAGCAACGGTTCTACCTGTGCTAAGCTCATTTGCCGCACACATCGCTCTGAAATCACCTGGCAACTTGGATGCGTGTGCACAGAAGATGATGAAACTTAGCCTTCGTCATTGGCATGCAGAGCGGCAATTTAACGCCAAATTACAACACCCTGTAATTTGTCAAAGTTTATGAACATTTTACATTCTTTGCCGATATTTATTTAGAGATGAATCTCTCCCATTATTTCAATCATTTTAATGGCCGCTTTAATTTCTGGTATTACTGTGGACAGAATCGCCAGGAAGTTACCCTCTTAAATGCTTTCATAAAATTCCCTAGTATTCAAATGACGTGTTTTTTCTTCGCGACCAAGCATGTCTTAATTTCTAATATTTGCTTAATAGTGCATTATCTGTATTCTCTTTTAGTAAATTAATAAGGAATCTTAGTATACTTAATTCTAAATCGATTTACAATGATTTTTAGTTGGAGAAGTTTACTACCAAATTACCGATAATTCTCTTTTTCTCTCGAAGGAAGGCTTATTATTTATTTATTGACTATTATGAATCACAGCACCCGGTCTAAATCAATTTTGCATTTATGTTTTTTCTATATTTAATTGATCTTGGACCATCGCCAAATGCTGATTTACATTTAGTACTAATCGGTAATAAATTTTATGAGAAAAAACAGATAAAGCCATGCAGATATATTTTAGTGCGCCCGACTCTCAGTTGCCCCTGTCAGTCGTTAAAAATATATCAAGCTAAGAAATCCTTGATTAATTTTCTCTGTGAACCACTTTTATTTGGCGACGTAAAAATGTTGATTAGCATTTTATGTTAAAGCGATTTTAACACACACATTAAATAATGTTCTGGTTTTCTTTAATCATTTTGATGGCCAGTTTATGGCGCAGTTTCCGGATCGACCCTAATGGGAGTATTTTCATCTGATGATCCAATTTCGGTTTTAACGTTCTTAGTTTTTTATAGTTTTTCACTATAAAGAAAATCTTTCAGCAGATAGTTGAGTTTACTTTCATTACTCTGCAAGTTTTCTCAACGTTTTTCTTAGCTCTTTGTTCTGACTCGGGTTTCATCAAATTATTTACCATTTTGTGGGCGCCGTAGTTCAGTTTTCGCCCCCTGAAACTCCCACAACTCCGTGGACCGTTTATAGTAATTGTTATAATTTTGTATATTTTCGTTGTTCCCTCTTTTGTTACTGCCATTGTGGTCTTCTTGTTGCGATGAAAAACCGGAGTCAGATACATAAATAAAAGACTCAAGTGCGTGCACTTTGTTATTGAAACTCATTCAAGTCAAGCCGATGACGATGTTGTGGCTCTTGGCTTATTTGTTGTTTTGTTTTTCGGTTTACTTTTTATGGTCATTTGAGAAACGAACAACCACAACATTGTTTCGAAGTAAACTCTGATAGTCATCTGGCATGTCGTCGTCTCTGTTACTCTTAAATTCTGATTTCGTGAAATGGACAAAAAACTGAACGCATGCAAGTTGAGCATTGCAGCTCGACTTTGACTTTGACTTTGGCGGCACTTTCACCCGATTTCTACCGGCTTCGGTATTTCGAATTGCCTCCACCGAGGTCCGCTGGCTTATTTATGTGGCATGTTGCACTCTTAAGAACCCAGGCCAACCGGCAACCAGGCAACATGCGATGTCTAGGGTATAGAAAGTGAAGCCAAGAGAGTCCAATTCCAAGTCCGTGCCGAAATATGCAACTCATGCATTAAATTGTCGCTGTTTTATTTCTCATTGTTTTTGTTTATCTTCAACTTGTTGCTGTCAAACTTGGTCACTTGGTCACTTTGCGTCTCGGGGCCTTGGGGCTATATTCTTTGCTCTTTTAGCTTCCCTAGATTGGTTTCAGTTCACGGCAAAGTGGGTCAAGTGGCGCCCACTTTTGTTTTCTGTGATAACCAAACCGATCCGAGGTCACTTCTGGCCTTTGTTGCTTTTTTTTGCTGGGTCCACAACCAGTTTCCATCGAATCTTTTCGAACTAGATCGGTTACTTGAGATAATCCGATTGCTTCGACTTCCTTTTTTAAATCGACTGTGTACACAATCTGGAGTAAAATTTTGATTTTAAGTTTGTTAAGATTTTGAAAGGGGTGGATTGAATCAAGATTAAAGATTCCACAGAAATTGTAAGGGAAAAGTTAAAAAAATTCTGTCATATTTATTTTTTATAGAAACTAAGTAAAATACTGTTGCACAAATAAGAAGTGTACTCAAAATCTAATAGCAGAATTTATAAACTAAATTTGGCATTGAGAAACCAATTACTTGCTTAAAGATTTAAACTCATTTATACAATTTTTTACTTGTGTTTCTTTGTTTTAGGACTTATCATGGCGGGAGCCCTCTTCCTGCTAGCCCAGTTGAGCATCTTTGGGATCTGGAAGACTGTGCAGCGTCGCACCAGCAAGGAGCGGTATCTGTACCAGCACGAGCCCACGCCAACCATAACCTACGGAGCGCCCACCATGCTCTACGGACCGCCACCCAACTCCTCCGCCGGATCCTCGTCGTCGGGAGCATCCTACGGGGGCAGCGCCAAGGACACGCTGAGCAAGCTCTACGATAGTGGCATCAATGGGCGCTACGGACAGCAGTTCTAGGGAGATCTGGGTGGCTCTCGCACCTTGCTGGGAACACTTAGCTGGGAACAAACGCAATATGCCTCGAAAGCTTCAAAAGATTCGATGAGACTTGAATAGAAAATATTCGCCTAGCAGCGACACACATGAAAATCATTGAAAACCCTAGAATAATTTCAGCCTAGAATAAGCCTACGATTAGCATACTCTTAGTTTTGATTTTGCGAAGACACCTTTTTTTTAACGATACGAATATTTCTCAAGAATGCGCGCTTTTAAATGCCTTGGAAATCGAGTTTCCAGCATTTTAAATCAGCGCATTGCTAATCAAAGAACGACAAATTTCTACCGCTGAATTCGAATTAGTTTAGAGCTAAAATCTCTCTAGCGAAAGTTAGGCTAATTATATGTGTAGTGAGAAGTCTGCTTCAATGTCCACGAGCGAATTGCATTTATAACTATTACACTATTTATTACTTTTACTATTACGCTGCTGACATTTCCACACAAAGTTTGCCAAATAATTTTGTATCAAAATGTTTTGTGCCAGGCTTCTGTGCTAGGCGGCATTTCCATGTTTCCGAATCCCCACTATCTAAAACTATTTCCCCAAATATTTATTTGCCAATCATACTTCATATTATATTTTAGCCGAAACACAAGGCGGTGCTAATTATTAGGAGCTTCAGAGAGACTTAGTTTAATCTCGAGAACACAGGAGATGAAAATTTTTAAACAAAAATTTGATAAACGAATTGTACTGATTAAGTAATGCAATAAACTCTACGCCTTAAGAAACATATTTAAAAATAAATGTCTAAAAATTAAACTGGTTGGATTTTTAATTGGTGAAGAAAGGGTGAGTGCCAGAAAAACCCACTAAATTAATTGATTAATTTATGTGCCTAGCCAAGCATGTCGAAATTTATTATCGCTTTGATTAAATACACCGCAACTTCTAATTTACCATAAACCAGACCATTCCCATTAACATTTCAGTGAGGAAACTTAGGGAACCGCTTAGTCAAATTGATGTTTGTCAAAGCGAAAGACAACCGAAGAAATTATAATAATTTCACGGTACTTTAAGCTGTAGAAAAATAAGTGGCATAAGAGTATCTTTCAGTTGGGGGCCGACCGACAAAAGTGTTAATCAAATTAAGAGGCGGCATGGCAATGAGTTTAACCAGGCGTGTTACGATCTCTTTAACGCTCCAGCTACGCACGCCATTATACCCATTCTCGATGCTCGACACAAGTCCTCTGATATTGTGGGGCACATCTAAATTCTGAGCCACTGATGGCGTCGATTCATCATGATCACGTTGAAATTAAAATGTGCGAAAAGACGAGTATCGCACAAGACGTGTGCCGCCTTTCTGAATGGAGATGTCTTTCACTATCTCCGTGAATAGGCGCACGCCTTCTTCTTTATATCATAGATGTCTCCCGCCGCGTCCCTCTGCCACTGGAAAGGTGTGAGATACGCATGTGCGTCGTGCCCCGTGTTGAATAAAACGCCCCTATTAGGCTGAAGTTAAATTACAAATATATTCCTAGCCGAATGTGGGATACACTGAGTAAGCCAAACGTTTTTTCATTTGGATGGATGGACTTTTTATCACCGAAACATAAAAACATGAATACAGCATCTTAATTACCTAGAGGTAAGAAAGGATATTTTTCAATTATAAAATGAATTTAACAAAATGAAGTACATATGAATACTTTTTGATTTACGGACTTATTAGAGTAAAAAAAATGGATTTAACTGGAAAGTTAAAGAACGGTTTTAATATTTAAAATCTTTAGTCTATAAAACTGCAGATACCTCCAACACAAGCTAGAGTAAACCCTCAAAGCCACGCGTTGACAATTTTTATGGCCGGTTCTGGTGCGTATTTGGCTTGGACACGGCTATGGAGTTTTTAGCTTGGAGTTGGGGATCGAGATGGAGTTGATATAGCGATACAGCGGCAGAGCAGGCGTTGTCCAGTCGATCCGGACCAGCGCTGCGTGAGCTTTTTGCTTTCGGTTTTTCTCACCTTTAAGCGAGCCTAGAAAGAACGTGGCCAAGTGTGGGTATATTTCCGTTGACAGCTATGCAAATGCCTGGCCATTAAGTCGTTGACTGTTAGCAATGGCTTCTAATTAGCGGCTTGACTTTGGCCTGGCCTGGATTGGACCAAAGTCTGGCCAGGATCGTTCCGAAATTCCAGAGACAATGGCGTGGCGACACCTACACTCCCTGCGACTTTGACACTTTGACCATTGAGGAAATCGCTTGCTCGCATTTCGCCAATTTCCATACATAAAGTTCGCATTGAACACCCTCACGCTCCGTGGTCATTTGCATTTAAATGCCATTGCCATTTGGCTCTGCCTTCGCATTGAGATTCGGATTGGATGAGGATCTCGTTTGCAGCACTTCCCATTCGGGCTGGCTTTTCTTTTCTAGACATGTTGGCCTGCTCACGATTTCTGCCTCTTGGCCTCTGCTTTTGTTTGTTTTACAGCTGCTCGCTTTGATTGAAAAATTATGCACTTGCCATGGCAATGGGCACTGCCAAATTTCGCCTCCAAAGAGAATACGTAAAGGAAGAAGAAATCGAGGAAAAACAGGAACTCTCCCCCGATAAACAAGAGACCAAAATAAGACCGGCTGCTAACTGAAGTTATTCAATGCTCTTGCTGAAATATAGAAATAAACAGACATGGCTATATTAACTCTCCTGTTAATGCTTATCAAGAATATGTATACTTTTTAGGGTCGGTAACGTCTTCTTAACTGCGTTACAAACATCTAACCCAAATAAGTATAGCCTCAGCTAAGTGCAAGCAAATAAGTTACAAAATCAAACCATTTACACAAGATATGAAGTAATATGTAATATTATTATTCAAACATATTATATGATGAAAGGGTTAAAAAAGCAAAATATCCACACTACTTGTTAGCTCATCAAGACAGTCGGATAAAAGTCAGTGTTTAGCACTTGAAGCAATGAACGGCAAACGTTTTCCCGTTTACCATTTTCCATTTTTCGATTCCAAAGTGGCAAAAGCCTGAAAGCGAGGACGGTGGCTTGTTACTTTTCATTTCGCCAACTCCTTCAGCTTGTCCTGCTCATTAGCAATTGCCCGGCATGGCGAACAGCTGTCCCTGTTAGCCAGTTTTCACCTAATTAAGCAAACAAACGTGTGGGAAACTGGCCGCGCAGATAACTTTCCCCGCCCCAGAAAAACACGCCCATATCCTCGAATATCCCACAGGCTAATTGTCACGAACATGGGGGCTAAGTAGCCGATGGAATGCAGCCGAAAACATTTGTCTCTAATTGCGGCTCAGCCCAATTGGGCAGGCCAAATTAAATTAAATGCAACCGAAAACAAACAAGAGAAGCGGAAAGATCACCAGGAAGACCAGAAGATGCCACGGCGGCCACAACAATTTGTGCAAAAATACAAATTGGAACATTTGCAGAGGCGCAGGCGTGTAGTAGGCAATACTGTGAGAATTTATGGCCCCGCTCTGGGGTCACTACCGGGATAACATCTGGTTGGCCAACTTGGAGGAGCTGGAGGAGCTAGAGGAGCCGACGCGTCGTGCGCAATGCGCATGCAAGGTAAGGCAACTTCCAAACAAATCGAAATGGTTAAGGACATTGACCAGGAACGATCCAAAGTCAAGGCGGACAGACCGTTTGTGGCAGGCCGCGATGGAAACCCATTAGAAATTCGAGAAATGGTTCAGTATCATTGAAGACTGGCAGAAAAACAATTAATAAATGCAATATATCTCTGAAATCTTGTGCAATTGCAATTAACAGAAAAGCCGTTTCTTTTTTCCCGAGACTTTGAACTTTGACTGCCTGCTGGTAAATGCCCAACTGTCTTACATAAAGATGATTAGCACTCTCTCTCACACCTTTACGACCCATAATAATGGTTTATCGGCAAAATTTTCGCTGCCAAAGAAAACTGTATGCAAATATTTATGATTTACTTTACTGGCTTTTCACCTAATGGCCATATTTTTCAGCTTTGCGTCGTTAAATTATAGGTGTTAGTAGTTACCTAAAATCCTGTGACTGGGTTAAAAGGTGAAGTAGAATGCTTAAACAAATATGGGGAGAAAGCGTCTTCTAATTCCAAAGTGATAGTTATGTCTCAATTTCCCAAATAAACGGCAGTCTAACAAAATGAATGAAGTTGTCAACAATATAAATGAAGTTACCGGTAATGTATGAAACAGGCGATTTATTGTCTGTATATATGTTAACTTTTAATTTATATAGTTAGTGTGTTTAATTTTATTTATATCATGCTATTACCTGCAAGCTTCGGCAAGACACAGTTTATGTATCATAAAAGTCAATATTTTGATTTGTTTTTGTTCGATAACAAGAAGGCTAGTCGATTTCCTGATCAATTTTTCTACAATTTAAAAAAGGAGTATATCGTGGAATATATAATAGAATCGTCCGGCGAAATGGAAAATTGTTTTGTAGGCGTGTTTAATATGCGTTATTAAATAGTCAGAAATCCATCAAATCTTTGTTTCACATCCATCCTAAACCTTAATTCAAATCTTTCCCAAAAGCCTGCTTTTAGAACCTCTCCCAATAATCGTAAGGTTAAGATACATCTGGATTACCCCTATAAATTTAATTAAATCCTAATCCCTCAGTTGGCTTTTAGTTATTGACCTCGCTTCCGCCTAACGGACTGTGGGACTTTTGCTTTCCGCAAGCAGTTGCTGCGTAGTCAATTCCTTCTTTCATTTCATTTTTGGGCTTGGTTCTGGCCAGGTTCTTTTGGCCGCATCTTCTCTTGGGGGAAAAAGAAGTGTACAAGGAAGGTTAGGCGGTTGGGGGCGTGCGTGAAAATTGCTCGAGTGCACAAGGAAGGCCGCCGGCTGGCCTCTCTCACGTTGCAGGACAAGAATCGCGGTAAGTGATTACGTAACCAGTGCATTGTTTGCAGCATCTGTTTTGGGTTTCTTCCCCGGGTTTCTTTCGCCATTTCAATGGAAGTCTGCAGTTGGAGCCTACCTTCTTATCAGCCAATCAATGGTCGAGAGGAAGCTGTGGCAAAATAATTTATTCACAGCCATTATGCGCTGCGAATTTATGCCACTTCCTGGTGGAACCACTACAAATAGCCTTTTAAAATGCGATAAAAATAGCGCCAAGGGGTCTGCACTTCAAGAACAGCCAGGGAAGATCCACCAGGTCCAGGTTTTGTTCTCGAGATGGGGCGTAGTCACTTGGCAATGACTTTCAAGCATGAAACCGTAAAATGGTTTTTCAATAAACCCGAAAGGAGTCGGGGGGAAGCTGCTAGATGGAGCTGGGAAACTGGCGAAACAATGCGACAAATATTTGAATATGTTAATTAGTCTGTTGTTCCTGCCGTGGCCCGTTTTCTTGGGCACGATCAGTTCGTTCTTCTTCTATCGCTGGACGTGCATCGGCGCAGTCTAATTCCATGTGTTGCCATCTTGTTAGCACACCGGTGAAGTCGTTCGCCAGGTTAAGGGAGCATTTTGACCTGGAATAGGCGGTTGGCAACCGTTTTGCATCTTCGCACCAGGCGGACTTACGAATGCAAGTGCCTTCGAGATTCATATTCATACTTATGATTGGTATGCAGGTTGGCCCACACACACACCGTTCGGCAATAAAGCTGCCAATAAGCCCGCAAAGAGCAACTGCCAACATCAGCCTTATAGAGTCACAGGCCACCGGCGGATCGGGATCTCTACTCCCGCCCGAACGAAACACCAATGCCTGAGTCCCCGCCCGCATTCCTCACCATTTGCACGCA